AGGCCATTTGGGTGTGATTTTATTTCGGGGACCTTCAAATTGGTGGTTTTCGTTTGGTTGTCCTTTAAACTCATCAAAAACTGGGTATCCTCAAAAGCCATTGCGGACCCATTTTAGTGGCAAACCAGTTTGTTCTTGCGTTCGCTACATCCGCCCGATACGTGAGGGAAGCCAGCTAGTGACTTGGGGAACCTGCTTGTTCCGACTCCATTTGACCTTTTGGTTTGTGGGGTTGGCGGAAAACAATCAGGGTCACTTTCAGTGTCTACACACCGACTGGAGCCACAATCAAAACACAGGTAAGTTAAGGTTAGCAGGTTTTGGGTCTATCGGTCTATTGTTGTGCATGTGGGTTTAAATGGGAAGCCAAAAGGAAAGCCTCCAAACCAGAAATCCAAACATCCACCTCCCTATGGGCCATATGGGTATTCGGGGTCCTTTGCACATCATTTACTTCCCTGCAACCTAACCTAGAACCAACCTAACCTAGAACCCAAAAGGGGGGTCCCCCAAAAGGAGATTCCTCTGTAAAGGTTTGCTGGGGCCCATCTTTTAATCTGCCGGAGGTTGGAATCTATTGTCCGCTGAGGGGGTTCCAGCTCAGGCCGAAGCTCCGGTTCCTCCCGCCCTTTCTGGCCTTTTGGATGTCCACTTTGTGCCTAGCCGGCGGCTCAGGGCTCTCCTCAAAAGAAGGGGCAGGGGGGTGGGGTGGGGGTGCTTGGCTTTTGTGGGGGTGCAAAAAGGCCGTGTTTGCGGGTGTTTGTGTGTGTTTTTTTTTGGTCGGCCTTCAAGACCCACGGAGCCGCACTTTTTCAATGTTCGGGAAAGTGGGCTTGATGTTCTCCCGAGTCGGCCTGTTTGGCTTGTTGCCTCCGGAGTTGGTGACCTTTTTGAAAGGGAAACAAGAAGGGGCACCACCCAGTTTTGGGAGTCTGGCAGTCGCGGACTTTCGGACTTTGAGGTGTGATGGTGATGGAGCCAGGGGCAAGCTGAGGGGGTCGCAACGAGAAATCGCTTCGCGCGATAACCCGGGATCGTTTAGAAGGATGCGAGTTCCTGGGCGTTAATTAATCGTTTTGAGAAAGACATGTTTAGTGGTTAGGACACTTCTTCTTTTTGGACAACGGAGAGAAGGAGCATGCGAATCAGCAGGATCTTCTCCAACAAGATGAATCCACAGGACTCCGATGTCACACTCCCAGATTGAGCAGAACTTGACAACCGAAACCCGATCAGACTCGCATCCCAACAGGTGTCAAGCACCCTGCTCGTTTTGGTAGCCATGAAGCAGAAATTTGTTTACCCATCATGTACCCCCCAGATTTGCAACTCTAGCCTTTGCGTACCCCTCAGAATCTTGGGACCTCAGGTCAAGGGCCCAAACCTTTGAGGAGATCCCTTGCCTCCAGAGGGTCGGTCCTTGAAGCTTCGGGGACCCAAGAAATCGTCCAAGCGAGGCCTTGAGCGTGCTGCGGCGCCGGTCGTGCTCCTCCAGTTGCATTGGCTCGTGCCTCTTCCTCTGGCTGCCGCTGGCCGCCTTTAGCTCCCTCTGCTTTCTCAGGCCGGCAGTCCCCGTCTCAGCATTCAGCTCCTTTAACTCCTTGGTTTTGCACGGGCAAATGAGCCGGGGTTGGGGCACCAAATGAGCCGGGGTTTGCCATACCACAGCAAACGCAGCAGAGCAAGCGGGAGGCTTCCATGGCAGTTATGCTTCCGTATAGATTCCTGGTGGTGATGCTTTAAAGCGAGATATCCGGAACCCTGTCAAGCGGGGGGCCTTCTATGCGGGACTACCTTAACCCTTACGCTATTCTCGCATGGACGACCCGCCCCCGCCCGCCCCCCCCCCCCCACAAAAAATATTATGTCCTTTGGTCCTTTTACAACAACCCCTCTGAACAGGCGCACCCATATAAGACTCGTTGACCTGGGTGTTGGCACGACTGTTCTCAGGGTGACGCGGATATCCGCCCTTGTAAACACAAAGGAACAGAAATTGAACTTTATTGCATCTATAGATTAAGGTTTCGAATATAATCTTAGGGATTGGGTTGACGGCTTCCATCAGTGGTCAACGCTTCCCTTGAAATTCATTGATGGTGGCCTGTAATTGGCCTGTAATCTGACTCCGTTGCAGATTCGACCTTTGGCAGCGGTGTGTGTGTGTGTGTTAGTTAGCTAGGTCTATTGCTGTTGAATTACTTGTTTCACGGGTGGCAGGTCCGTCCGACTGAAAGTGATCCATGGCAGGCTGTCAGTGTGGCCCACGCTGTCACCCACAGTGCTACTGCTGCCGTTGCTGCTGGTCACCTGCATCCCAGTTGCCAGCGAGTCGACCTAACTTTTGCACTTTTGGAGCTTCCCATTTTTTTGAGTTTGGCGCTTCCTTCAGCTTTGGGTTTTCAAGCGTTCTCTTTTTTCGTGGTCCCAAATGCTGCTCACCCTTCGCGTAAGTCTTTTGGTAAGTGAGGTATGCTGATCCTCTTCTCGAGCTTTCTGACGGTTGCCTCCTTTTGGCTGGGCCGCTTGGCGCGAATCGGACTGCTGAGTGCTGAAACGAGTCGTGGGCAATCACAGCTCCGCCCGGTTCCACGACCTGTGGGTCTTGTCGGTGGCATCCATCATCCCATACCTCCAGTGCGACGGTTTGCGTTTTTTTCTTGGGGATTCCCTTGAACATCAACTGCCAGACCACCGCTCCAGTTGTCCCATGGCCATAGGCTTCCCCTAGAGTAGTTTTAACTTTTAACCATCAACATCAAGATTTGGTAGCTAATTTAGAGCTTTTTAAAGGGGAGGGAGCGCTACAGGTTGGGTTCAGGACCGCATACTGCAGGCTGGCGAGGCAGCAGGGACTGGATGGAGTATGCGACCACCACCTTGGTGGCCATTCTGGCGGTGCTGCTGCCATTGCTCTCAGTAGAACTCGCGCCACGGAATTGTTGAAGTGTTTGTCTGTGTGTGTGTGTTTTCTTTTTTTTGGGGGGATCAAATGGCACCATATCTATTGTGGATTTTACAACTTCTGGGGCAGGGCAGCCAGAGATGTTTTAGCTTTAGGCAAGATTATTTTAAACTGTGATGATATAACCCTTTAAATGGGATACTTCGCAAGTGTGGTTTGACTGTGCGTAAATTGGTGCTTGATCTAAGCCTGTCTTGAAGTGAACCTTAATCAGTTCGCCACAGCACGCATCTGGCTTGCAAACATGGCTATTCTACATGGTCGATGCTTTGAAGGTTGCTAAGTGTCCCACTTTCCGCAAGAGGCCAGAGGGCTAGGGATGAGGATTGGTCCATTTTAGACTGCTTGAAGTCTCTGTTTCCCTCAGGGCCAGTTGGTTGATGGATAGGGGTTCCGAATGAGGGATTTCTATCCCCCATGTTGGCCTGAGACTGCACCCTCTTGGCTTTTTTGAGTCAGAGATCGCTACAGGCAACTCTGCAGGACGTCCTTTGTTTTTCTTTGGTGTGTGTGGGTTGGAACTCCAATTTCCCGATGTTTGCTTCTGGCCATCGAGGCCTTGGTGGGGTACCTGAAGGGTGACTTGGCCATCAATTGGATCTTCGTGCCATGGACGGTTTGGCTGACGGGTCTTCTGATGGCGGCCTTGTGGCAGAGCCTCTTCCCACTGAAGCCGCAGAGCGTCATGGACCGCATCCCCCGTTACAGGACGGATCCACGGATCGACGGTTCGGTTCGGTAATTGAGATCCCTCCCGGCTACGCAAGGAGCCACACTTCAGTGGTTTCTCAGGCCCTTCCACTTGGATGCCTTGTCCCCATTTCTCTGACCCGTTGGTCGGAGGGTTCCATGTATTGGCGCAGCTTGTTAGAGGTTTGCGGTGTGGCTGGTGGTCAGGGCGATGAGCTCAACCCACTAGCTGTGGCTCGAGAAAGGCCATCACATTGCCGAGGGAGAACCAGGATCCAACATCTCCAGTTGTGCAAGATTGGGTGTTAAAACAAGTTTCTGTGATAAGGATTCGAACCCCACTTTGAAACCATGAGGTAGTCATGGTTCGATGGGACTCCCGCTACAGAAAATGGCGTCTCTGCCACACGGAGCCCAAAAAGGCAATCCCGCAAAGGAGATTCCGCTCAACCCGGTCCCCCCGGTTCCATTCGCAATCTGAGTGTATTTCTAACGACATCTCCAGGAGGGGCCAGGACCTGCATGTGGAGACGGAGCTTTTGCTCATGGGCCAGGCTTCGGAGTTGCCTTCCCGCTGAATCGAGGCGGCGGAAAAGCCTTCGGGCAGCGACTCAGCGACTGAACACCAGCCGCGAAAGAGTTGAAAAAGGCGTGGCCGAGCAGCATCCCTCAAGTGAAGGGGGCGTATCTTATTTTGTCTCTTGATGGAGCTTGGAACCCAGACGTGGTGACATGGGGCATACGTTTTCTTTGGTTTCCCTTGAGCAAGGGGACCCAAGCCTCAAATAAGGAGCCACACCGAGCCTTGAGAAGTTGAAGGGCCGTTCATGTGGTTGTCCGACATCGCACCTGGTGAGGTTTGCTTCTGGCAGGCTCTTTGATTGGTGTCAAGGTAGCGTTCATGTGTTGAATGAAGGAGAGGCTTGAACAAGCCAATCCCTGCCAGAGCTGTTTGTTTGTCTTTCTCTCTCTCTCTATCCATTTATCTATCCATCTATCTATCCATCTATCTATCTATCTATCTATCTATCTATCTATCTATCTAATTGGCCTAACCAGCAACTAATCAATCTATCAGCCTACCAATCTGTCAGTACATCAGTCAACCCATCTATCAATAAATTGATCATGAGATCAATCGTTGAGTCAATCGATCAAAACAAATTGAACCTGTTGGAACCCACCGAGTCAACTCAACTAAGCAACCATCAAGTGAATCACACATAACTTATAACTAAATAGAGACACACACACACGTATGTATATATATATATGTATATCTATACATGTCACAGGCAAAAAAACATCATGCTTCACCTCAGGCGGTTCCTTTGCCCGGCGAAAGGACGACAACGTGCCGCCCACGCAGCCACGGCACCTGGCGCGGCTGGTGCAGTCGGCCGATGGCTTGGAGGACCTTCAGCTCGTTGAGCTGCCAGGATCGGGACCGACCCGTCGACCGTCGACCGGGGAGATGTTGTTTTTTCTTCTTTTTTTTTACGGGAATGTGTTTTTTTTGGTGTGTGTTCCTGGTTTCCACTGGAATGTATCAATTTAGGGAAAATGCCTTTGTTGGTTGGACGTTCGTTCCAGCTGCTTCCTTGTACGTCAAACATCGGTTTGGAAGGCTTATGCCGGGAACACCAGGTTTTCGAGACAGATCCTCCTTTTTTTGGCGGGGGTTGGATTCACAAGGTTAATATGATTGGTTTCCTCTGTTGGTTTTGAAGGGAAGCTATCACTGTGTTTGTTTGGAATATGTCCAGGGGATTCCAGCAAATGAACATTTCAGGTATTTCAATGCCCTCCGTCAATTCGATCGTTGGTGTGACCAAAGGGCCCGTTTTGGACCGTTTCGATGGAAACGAATTCGGCTTTTCCATTAGACTAACAACAGGTGATTGACCTTTGGTCACAGAAGAGCAGATTTGAACCATGGTCCTGCGGGAAAAGCTGTTTTCCCCAGATAGCTGAAAGCTATAGGGGTTCTAACTTCTATTAAAGAAGGGAAAGTGATTTGCGAGATTGAGGGCCGGGTGCTGGGGGGCATGCAGTTTGGGGTGCTGGTGGAGGTGCCGCTTTGCGAGATTGACGGCCGGGTGCTAGGCGGCATGCAGTTTGGGGTGTTGTGTTGCGAGATTGACGGCCAAGTGCGAGGGGTCATGTAGTTTGGGGTGCTGGTGGAGGTGCTGTTGTGCGAGATTGACGGACGGGTGCTAGGGGGCATGCGGTTTGGGGTGCTGGTGGAGGTGCTGTTTTGCAAGATTGACGGCCAAGTGCTAGAAGTCATGTGGTTTGGGGTGCTGGTGGAGGTGCTGTTTTGCGAGATGGACGGCCGGGTGCTAGGGGGCATGTAGTTTGGAGTGCTGGTGGAGGTGCTGTTTTGCGAGCTTGACGGCCAAGTGCTAGGGGTCATGCAGTTTTTCGGGTGCTGGTGGAGGTGCTGTTTTGCGAGGTTGGTGCTAGGGGGCATGCAGTTTCGGGCGCTAGTGGAGGTGCTGTTTTGCGAGGTTGACGGCGGGGTGCTAGGGGGCATGCAGTTTCGGGTGCTGGTGGAGGCGCCGCTTTGAGATAGGGGGCGTGTAATTTGGAGTGTTGGTGGAGGTGCAGTTTTGCGAGATTGACGGCCGGCGCTAGGGGTCATGCAGCTTCGGGTGCTGGTGGAGGTGCCGCTTTGCGAGATAGGGGGCATGTAGTTTGGAGTGCTGGTGGAGGTGCTGTTTTGCGAGATTGACGGCCGGGTACTAAGGGGCATGCAGTTTCGGGTGCTGGTGGAGGTGCCGCTTTGCGAAACTGACGGCCGGGTTCTAGGGGGCATGCAGGCTGGTGCCTGTGCTGTTAAAGGCGCTGATGGACACCGGGGGGGCACTCAGTTTGGGGTGCTGTTTGAGGTGCTGGTGATGGTGCAGGCGCATTCTTGCAAGATTGATGGCCACATGCAGTTTGGGGAGCTGATGCAGCTGTTTTGGGGTACTGTTTGGGGTGTTGTATGTCGGAGATTGCCGGCGGGCTGGTGGCAGGGTGCTAGGGCGGGTGCTGTTTGGGTCGCGGTTGTCGCAGCATCATCATGATGCCGGCCGCAGCATCATGATGCTGTCCGCAGCATCATGATGGTGTTGAACCGATTCGGACGTTGTTGCTGCTTTAACTGTCGCGCGTAATGGTTCGTGGCTGGTGTATCATCATGATGTTGTCCACCACATGTTGTCAACCACATCATGATGCAGCTGCAATCGCTGCAATGCCGCGTTATGGTTCGTGGCATAATGCTGTCAACATCGGGATGATGCTGACTTTCATTACACGATGATTTGTGGCTGTGGTATCATCAGGATGCTGCCTTTGCCACCTCCATGATGCTGTGAGCATTGTCATGATGCTGTCCGCATCATCATGATGCTGTCGAACTCATCAGGACGTCGTCTCTGCCTTTTTTCTGCTAGATATGTAGCGCGGAATCGTACGTGGCTGGTGTCTCAGCATCATCTTGTCAACATCATCGTTTTGCTGATGAGCTTCTATGTAGCGGCTGAGAAGCAGTGGTATTTTCATGATGCTGTCAACATCACCAAGATGCTGTCATCATCATCATCATCATGCCGCGGGAATTATTATGATGCTGCGTCATGGTTCGTAGCCGTGGTGTGCTATCTGGGGTCTATGCTGGTGTAATTTTTGTTTTTGTTTTTTCCTTTTGCAGACTCAACCCCGAAAGCACAACTGCGCAAAAACAAAAACGCTATAGCACACACGTAAGGAGTTTTTGACAACCGTGGCACATGTACGGGGCTAGATAATGAAACGCAGCACTATTTACAAAGCCCCTCAGCACCCCATTCTAATAGTCTAAGTGCTTGTAGTATTGTTTCTGCTTTTGGTTTGATGTAGCAACACTTTTCTGAAATATGACATGGTTGAAGCTATGTTTCATTTTGAGGTTCGCTAAATACGGACCAGAACCAAACCTCACCCGTCGGGTCAATGTCAACTGAGTTTCCTATTGACAAGGCGATGTTGAAAGGGGAACTATAGTGAACTCTGCCTGGCTCATCGGCCGATCAGTCAAGGCGGGAGCACGTTTGCGCCCAAAGCAGCAAACGGTTCTCCGCAAATTGATGCTTCCAAACATCACCCCAAAAGAGAACTTGGGAAGCAAAAGGTGTTAAACAGAATGAAAGTAGCATATAAGTATAGGGACGGGTGACAGTAATCATTGCCAGACTCGGCTTAATCGCTTCTCCCTGATAAAACCCCCCCCACAAAACAACCTGGGGGGGGTTTCATTATTAGGGGTTGCCGGTTTGGGCCTAGATCCAGTTGATAGTTTGCTGTTTAGTATTGGACTTGTATTGGAAAGTGGATTTTGCATTTTTTTCAGCAAGAACTTGGAAAGGGAGTGTCCCATGGTCAGTTTCATAAATGATTTGCTTGTGTTTGGGTTGTTTGGCGAACAGACCGTAATAATAGAACTTTCTTGGGGAAGGACCCATAATTAAGCTGTTCCTGGTTTGATAGAGCCCGAATTCCCCTAATAATAAAACCTTTTCGCACAAGGCAACCCTTGGGTGTCAAAGAAAACGTGGAGCCTTCTTGTTTCAACACACTCTGGAGGGGGGGACCCCTAATAAGCATATTTTGGGAGCTTGGTGGACTGCATGTGTAGTCTCAGGAGTTTAATATTGGTTTAGTATTGGCCAATTTAGATGTAGCATTTCCGATTTTTGGTCCCGGCTCGGGGGAGTTTGAGTATTTGGGGCTCCCTTGGTTTGACACAGAGATTTCCCCTTCAAACACTAGGCAACAGGTGCGCCAAAAGAGTAAATATGATAGGACACTCCCCTGCGGGGGACCGGCATCTCCGTTTGTGGCGGAAAGTTAAAGGAGGTGTCTAAACACAACTGCGTGGCTTGCGACATCCACTTCAGCTTGCATTAGTTGTCTCGGTCCAAAAACAACAGCACATAGTTTGTTCTTCCAAACCGGCACTTCATGTTTTATTTCAATCACAAAGCCGACCCCTGGTCCACCAAAACCACCATATTTCTCAAAAAAGAAACACAAACAAAAGGAAAACAACGCATCCAGCCCCCTTGTGCCTGGCGGTCTCACCACACGGCCGGAGCTTCGACGCGCCGAGGCGTGGGGCACTGGTTCAGCCAGGCGGAGCCCTCCTTGGCCTCCTGGCTGGAGCGCCGCCTTGCCGCGGAGCTGCCCGAGCCGCCCAGGCAGGGCATGGACCGCTTCTTTCGAGTTTGAGTCGATTTCAGGTAGGAAGAGGCCTGGGGTTCTTGACCTAGCTTGAGCTTTGAGTTTTTGTTCGTTCCCCAGCAACCGTTTGACGCCCTGAAAGAATGCAAGTCTGGCCAAGGTATGAGCTGCATTCGGAGCCCAAACGCAAGGGTTTGTTGGCTGGGCTGTTCAATAAGCACTTCGCAAGATCCTGACCTTGGGTTTGCAAAGGGTCCTTTTTTGTTGTCGTTTTCCAAGAGGGATAATGGAGAAGCAGATTCCAGCACGCTGTTTTGAACATCTCAGATTATAAAATGGTGCCAACCCAAAATCTGGGGGCATGGGTCCTTGCATGTTCCAGGACGTTTTGAGCCATCTTTGCCCTTAGCCAAAATGATGGTACAGATTTGGGTCCGAGCTTCTTTCGGAACGGGAACTTGCCGTGGGTTCCCGCTTGGATGGATACCGGAGTTTCCTTCAATGGCCATGCATTTTGAGGGGTTCTCTTTTTCCTCGGGCGGTTTCCCTTTAAACCACCATAGAGGTAACTTTGAGGACTTGCATTTGCTTAAGAACAGTGTTTTTTGTATTTACCCTGTTGGTTTTAAAGGAATCAATCACTATTGCAAAACTACTTATTTTTTCAGGGGGCTTAAGCAATTGGAAGAGGATGTCTTGCTAAAGTGGGGCTGTCAGGGTTTCCAGGTCTTCAACAACAAAACATGTAATGTCCACCTGAAATTTGTAAGGGGGGGACCCTCCCCTGGTCAACTAAGGGGGCAATCAGCAAAGTATATTGAGGTCCAGTTCCATTCTTTAGAATTGCTGGAGCTAGAACACATGAGTCTGGGAAGCTGGGCTTAAGCGCTCCCAAGAAGCCCCGAAAGCAACGTTTCCTCATGAGCATTTGTTTGGCGTGGACTGGCAAGTGTTTTTGCTGGACTGGGGTGGTGTTTAAAGGTTGGAAATCAGGAACCCCCGTCCCTTATTTCTCAAAATAGCGACCCCCGCAAGATGTTTTGTTCCCTTTGGTTTTCATTGAACAGCTGTCTACCCCCTAGAAGACCCCCCCCGCCCCGCACCCTTCTGGGCCTCAAAGCGCCAGCCGGGCATCGAGGTCCTTTGAGTTCACTGTGACCACCCCGGGCCACTACGGAACCAAAGGCTCCTGGCGGATCCTGCAGCAGCTGGATGCCTCGCAACCGGCGCGGATCGTGGTGGAGGCGCACTTCTTGCGAACGCGTCCTTCGTCTGAGCGGCGCCGACCTGTGCTTTGAATGGGCTTGCCTCAATATCTGATTTCTAAATGCGATCATTGGCAACTACGTTTAATTTACTTAGCCAAAAGGGGATCGCAGATTTGCGTTTGATTGGCCATGATTCCTGTTTAGCACCAAGCTTTATTCCGAGGTTGAATTGAATGGGGTTGTTTTGGCCCACAAGATCATTATTCACCCAAACAACCTAAGCCAGCCCTGCCGCAACTCACTTGCTATACTTCTTGGGAATATGGCAACAAGTTTGGACTTTGTTTGACCAATCCACTTATTCATTTTTTTTGTGTTGCATTGTTTCTCCACCATGGCTCTTTTCAACCATGCCCGTTTCCCTAGGTATTTGTGTGTGTGTGTGCTTCTAGGGGTTGAATTCTTGTCCCTTCTTTCCAACCACTCACTGTTGAACACATTTGTGCGAAGATCGTTTTGCTGGCACATTGCACGTTTTTGATTTTGTCCTGTTAACCAAAAACTGGCCAGTCCACTCAGGAAGTGCGAACTTTGTTTGTTTAGGTTGTTTTCAGCCCTGACCTTCCGAATCAATAGTTGGAGGATTGATCAGAATGTTCCGCTAACCTCGGTCAACCTCAGCAGTTGGTGACATTTTAAATACCTGCCTGCACTAGAACAATTGTGATGGACAATATCTAGAGTTCAATTGCAATAACCAAGAAATCAAGGCTCTTGGATACCCTGATGGAGGGGGGGGTGAAGGCAGATTACTGGCTGTCGAGAGGCTGGCGTGAGCAGGAGCCAGTGACTACCCCAGACTCGAAGGCCACAGAAAGTTGGGAAGCTGGTACTCATTGGAGGAAATCAACTTGCCAAGGGTCTTGTGAGCTTCCAAGGAGGTGCGCGCGGCAGAGAAGCCAAATATGCCTCTTTGGTGGAGGGCACGCTTCTTTTCGGGGTTGGTGTAAAAGGCACCTCAAGAGAAACACGGTGCGAGAGATACACAAGAAGACACATGTTTGCGGTTCCCCATTTAGAAACCAACCTGCCATTTGTTTAAGAATATATGTTTCCCCCGTGGTTTTAAAAGGGAACCTATCCCTTTTTTGTTGTTGCAGGTAAAGCACATGGACAGCCCAGTTTTGTTGAAAGGTAAGATGGAGGAAGCCCATGCAGCCCAGCCAATGGTTTCGAGAGGCAAACCAGAGCTGGCGGATCTCCAGCTTCAACGTCCGCCGCCTCGCGCTGGAGCCCGGCGCGCCGCTCGGCGCGGCTGGGGCGGCTGTGCTGCAGGAGGTGCGCCTGGACGGCGCCCTGGCGGGGTGGGTGGCCAAGATTTCCCCGGGTGGTTTGAAACATCACCTTGGGGGGCTGTAATTGAGAAGGTTTGGTGGAAGTGAGTTTCCTTTTGGGGGGAGTGACGCGTAAGGAAATACAGGGGAAACCTGTTTGCAGTTCAGCCAGGGTCTGCAAAAGATGGCCAAAGGAGATAAGATTGACTGATGTCGTTTGGTTTTCCACGTGGCAATTTGCGTTTTGCACAGCAGTACGGGGTTTTGAACCGATACACCGCCTGGGGTTCTTAGACCAGGTTGAAAGCTCCATGCTCGAACGCGGCGATCTTCTATGCCTGGCCAACTTGTCGGTCAGCAACGTCCCTTCAAAGATACATTTGGGCCATCTCAGAAAGGGCTGATATGGAGGTCTGCTTGTAAAAGCAGGTGGTAGTTGGATGTATCCTTTAAGGATCCCTGGTCAGTGGCATTCCGAAGTCACCCGTATGATACCTGCGGGAATTGGTTTGTTCTATATCATGTGTGTCCAGACAGGCACTCATCTGCAAAGAGAGGCACACTCGCACTTGCGGCGGCCTTTTCCGTCCCTTCGATCGTTTTGGGCTCTTTCGAGTGCTTTTGCCTCCATTTGCTTGAGTCCCCTGGCAAAGATAAATAAACCTGCATTAGGTGCATAGGCAGAGGTTCGATTTTTCAGCAGCAGGGTAAATAAAGTAGGTCCCCTAGTAATTAGTGCCCTTTTACCCTTTTGTGGGGGAGGCTTCCCCTACTAAAATAGACTACAGAAAAAAGGGTACCCTTATTCTAACCTCTCTACTGGAGGACCTAGTAGCGCATATTCTTTAGCAAATGGAAGTCACAGACCTCATTTCAGCAACCAAGGCTCGGTCTTCGATACGAAGGCGCTCCTCTCTGGGGCTTGCACCCACCTGTGCCGCAGCCACCGCCATGCTCGCTGGAAGATCTGTGGGAAGAGTTGCCTGCTTGCAGTCCATCACGCCATCAAGGGTGCATTTCGGTCCATCTGTTTTGCTGGTGTCGTTGAATGGGGTGGTTTATAAGGGAGCTCAAGAAGAACCCACCCATTTCCGGGATTCCCAGATTTTGAGATAGACTGACTTGGGCCGTCTCCGAACTCACCTTGACCAGCTGGTTTAGAGGAACTGCGTGTGGCGTTTGGACTTTAAGGAGCCCTGAGTTGTGCATCGAACCATGCGGTAAGGTGCGGAGGAACTCGGCTCCCAAATACTTCTCTTGCAGAAAAGCCAGAAGGAAACCAAGGGAAAGCCCAGCCAGAAGGAAACCAAGGGAAAGAAAGAGATGTGCCTCTCGGTCGCCCAGATTCGAAACACAAGCCCAACTCACTGAGGCTCCAGCGATTGCGCCGCCTGGCAGAGAGTGCGGGGATTACTTGGTCCCAAGTAAGATCCACTAACTAGCAGAAGCGCTTCCCAGTGGTTCAATGCCATCCGTTTTCCTCATTGTTTGATGGCTCTGTGCGAATAGTCAACAACAAAAAGGGTTCCTGGACTTTTGTGTTCTGGGGGGGAGCTTGCCAATGACCGCCCATGTTTGTGCGTCCTCATTCAGCTTCCTTAGGCAGGTTGGGCTATTCTCCTGTTTGCCCATTTGAAAGTGTCCCCCTTTGAACAGCCCCCCCTCCACCCCCCACCCCATCAAGCTTCAGACCCTTCTTAAGAGGGTCTGGTGGTGACAACTCTGTCCAAGATCAGCTACGGAGTGTAGAGCAGACTCAGGCCACAAATAGTACATTTGCCGATCCATCTGCCAAGATGGATTCATCACGAGTCTTGAAGCCAACCCCATCGACGGCTCGGGCCGAGGCATGGCGCTCGCTTCAGCGCTTTGCTTCGGCCAATGATGTGCTGCGGGCCCCGGTCTGCCTGGTGGCGGAGCCTTCGTGGCGGCGGCAGGCGGTGGCGCAGCCTGGCAGACCGAGCTTCGCACAGGGGAGCGGCATGGGGGGACTTACTCATTTGTCCATGCCTGTTTGGAAACTAATTGCCAATCCTGGATCAATATCGAAAAGGATGTTTTGAAATGGGCAGTGCCCAATGAGCTAGTGGGCCAGTAGGGAGAGCGGTAAGAACCACATTTCCCTTCAGCCTTGGCAAAGCCAAACATGCGGGGTTTGTTTGGCGCTGCTCGAATGCGGCTTCAGGTCTGTTTCAAGCTTAAAATGGGCCACAAGAGAACAACGCAGCCTTGACGAGACTGAATGAGGATTTGCTTTCCGATTAGACAGGGCTACATTGAAGCTTGGAAGGATTCCTTGGACTACGAGCGCACTCTTCTTCGAACCCATGTCAGATGTTGGGACACGGGGGGGTTCATCGATGTGATTCTTAGGAGGCGAGTGTCAAACAAGATTGCTCATGGCCAGTTCATTCCAAGACCTGGGCCAACAATCTGGGATTCCCGGACAAATCTTCATATACCTGGGAACCTGCGGGATAGCACTGGAGATAGAGAGAGAGAGCGAGCGCGAGAGAGAGAGAGAGAGAGCGAGAGAGAGCGAGAGAGAGCGAGAGCGAGACAGGAGAGTAGTATTCGAACGTTTTCTTTGAGGCTGGCAAACAAGCTCTACTTTGTGAGCCGCTATGCGCCGCCTATTGTCGAGGCGGCGGATGCTGCACCTTGACTGCACTTCGCATCGGTACGCACCAGGCCTCAGTCGCGTGGATGGAAACAGTCCACGGCACGTTGTGCACTCTGAAGGTTGGTCCTCCGTTCCGTTCAACCATTCTTTTGCGGAGCCGCTGAAGCAAAGTGATTTTGGCAAGGTGCGAAAAGAAGGATCCCTGGAAAGAATTGGGAAAGAAGAGCTGGAAACATGCATAATCGTGCGACAGCACGTTTCTGTTGTTGCAACGGCTCAGGAGGAAAGTCATATTTCAGCTGCCCTGAATCAGTTTTGGCAAATATATCACGAGCTCACCGATCCGGAGGCAAAACAAGCGATTCTAGCCATGATGAAGGCATTCTTGGGGACTCCATCTTTTTCTAGTGGGGAATCATTCTACTTGATTTACCCAGATGTTTGTCATGCATACAGTATGCTTGGCATTGGTGCTGTTTGGCACCCGGCAGGCACCATCAAGTTTTGCACGGCCCGTTGCATCAGCGAACTATCCAGGGGATGTTCAGGCGCGGAGGCTGTTTGCTACTGATATAAGTGGCAAATAGGACCTTCAAGGCGTATATCGGTGGCAAGTAACCCTCCATACCTCCACGGCACATGCCTGGAGACTCAATTTCGCCTGAGAAATCGAGGCCGGAGGTCCCTTTTTCAGGGCAGCTTGAGGGTCCAGGTACATGTTCGAGGGACACCAAATCGACCGCACCAGGCCCCGAGCTCCGAATCGCAGCCGTGAGGCCGGCTGCGAATCCTCCAACCTGGTGCTACTGGGGGGCAACGTAAAGAGCCGGGAGCCCAAGTTGCCACCAGTGACTGTTCACTTTCATTTGCTTAGGAATAGTTTGTTTTTCCTATGACGACTTGAAATATGTTGTTTAATTTTTTCCAGTGGGCTTGAGCAAATGGGTTCAGTGGCACCTGAAAGTCCCTTTTTGTTTGGTGGCTTCCCCGCTGTGAATGGTCAAGCCCAAAATTGCTCCATGTATTTTTCTCTGCAAGGTTGACCGAGTAATTCCGGGTCAGGGTCACGCGTGAGTGTGTGAACATGATCATGGCTGAAGAACATTAGTTGCAATCATGCGCTTTCGGCGCACACGGCCTTGCAGTGGGTACACGAGATTTAGAGAATAATTTGTCAGTGTTTTCAATCCAGTGCCGGGGCTGGTGTTGTTAGGAAGTGAGCTGTTGGTTTAAAGTATTGATAAAACATGAATGCGCCAAAAGCATGGCGTTGTTGATGTCAAAATGTTTCTGGTCCTGCAATTTGGTTGGACATGGTCCTTTTTGGGTTTCTGCCTCGGCCATTCCGAAGCCTGTTTGTCACCGGGGACTCGGGAGGAGCAGCCCTGCATTTTCAGAGGGAAATACAATTGGGACTCCCTTAGTCACCTGCAAATTGACATGGAGCCAAAATGGAAAGGAGATTCCTCTACAACTGACGGCTTTTTGGGCTCCATGCTAACCTGCAGGGGAGCACGAACCCCAATCCGCTGCATCCCGACTTTGCTTCACTCTGGCCTTAAGTGGTGTGGATGCTACCATGCAGTGCTTTCTGGCGACAATGCCCGCTTTTGCCGAGGCTTGAGTTGCTCCTTCCCCTACATCGGCTTCACTGAAGACAGCTTTGTGCTTGATGGCAACCACTACTTGGCCAACAGCACAGGATCGGCTTTGAGCTTGCGCGCTTACGGGTGGCACTACAGGGTTTGGGCAAGGATCCCACAGGTGACTGGTGAGAGAGATGTTGCAACAGATGCGGCGAGCGTTGATGCTACCCCACCCCCCCCCCCCCCCCCCCCACCCACATGATTTTGATCCGAAACATTCATCCCTTGTGGATACCACTGGCAAATCAGCACCACGTATGGTGCTGATGAACATGCCGTCCAACCCGTGCCCCATTGGCATCTGGACACCAGCCCCCAGGAGTGCATTGGCTTGACCTTCAACCTTCAACTTTGTTTCGGGAAAATGTGTGTGTGTGTGCCCCGCTTTCCCTCAGGTCGCTCTTTGTTTTGGGGCAATTGCGCACCAAGAGTACTTAACGATAAAAGGTCGCTGGTTCCCTTCAATTAGGCTGCAATGCTACTATGGCTCACGCTAATGATTAGGTGCCTTTTTGCAACAGGCATGGAAGTGCATGGGGGCTTCAAGGAAAGCAGTCCAAATTCCAGAATGCCAGCTTTCATTGCATAGTTTGCCTTTTCCACTGTAGAATAAACATACGCAGGCCTCGCAGTGTAGAAGCCCTTTTCAAGGGAGGCTGTTCATTGCAGCGGGAAAAGGCACGCCCTGTTTTGCTCAGTTCCAAGGCCCGCCTTTTGATCTTGTTGTTCCCCTTGGACCATTTTAGTCATGGGCCCAAAGGGTTCAGCTTGCATGCCTGGGTCCTTTGGGCAACTGAGTTTATTAAACAACACTACAGCGGACGAACTCCTGCACCACCTAAGAAACCTTAAAAGGATGAGTCCCCCGTAAAATTATTGGCCGTGGGTCAAACATAGGTACCCACAATGGAACCCTGGAAAATGCAAACATGGACTAAAACCTGCGGTCCCCAGGTTGTTTAAGTTTGACCCATACCCAATTGCCAACGAACCCTGGTTTCAACCACGGTTTCAAAGTGACCGGATGTCGTGCATCCACATTGGACGGGAAGGATTACTGGCCGTGGGCCACCTCCGAGAACGCCGGCTGCTGCTGCTGGCGGGTGAGCCTACGGCCCTGGCGGCAGTGCCGGTGACCTCCGGCAGACACGGAGCCACCGGCCGCGCGCGCGAGCGCCAACTGGCCCCCAAGCGCCTCCCCGCTAATACGATGCCTGGCTAGGGATTCCGGAGGGGCCATTGGGCCCATTTTCCTCTTAAAGGAACCTTTTGGCGGCAGGGGAGGGGAGTTGGGTTGTTGAATGGTGATCCTGCTGTCATATGGTAGTGTTTGCCCTTGTGTAGTTTTATGAATTCTTGGCTCCCTGTTCGATATACTTGTGGATGATGGGGCCATGATCAACGTTTTGTATCCCTGAGGTATCCGTTTTGGGTGGGCCCCTGTCGGCTCTGTAGGTTGCACAAATTCAATTTGCATCTGGTCACAAAGCTGCTTGGTGTCCCTTTTTTGAGGGCACCCTGTTCCAGGTCGGTTGACAGGGAAACCGAAAGAAAAACTACAAGTTTGCGGGTCCCCCAAGATTGAAGATATACCCATCTTGAGATTGGGTCCGTTTGTTCTCCTTTGAGGGGGCTTTCTGACAGAGTCTTTAGTTTCTGGAGCAACCTTGGAATACGTTGTATTCTGGTATTCGTGTGTTTGAAGTTCGCCTGATTCGTATACCCTTCACTGAAGGGTATACGAATCAGGCGTTTGTTTGAAGGTACCCTTTGCACCTTTGACAGGAGCCCCACTACTTTTGGTATCCCCTCCTTTTTTTCACGCATTGCTATGTTTTCTGTTTCGGCGCGTAGGTCGCTTTGCCAGGAGCTGACTTCATGCTCATGGGCAGTGAGCCCTGGAAGGGCGAGGCCAACATCCTGGCGGCGGGGCCGGGTCCTTGGAATGCTCGGTCTATGGCCCGATGGAGGGGATCGGATTGTCGGGGAAATGAGAAACCATGGAGTGGGGCCAACCAGCCAGTGGCAATGCCCCAATTCAACAAAAGCAAAGATACAAAACCTGTTTTGGTGTCCTTTAGGAGCCCTGAAATTCCGCTAATGACAAGCCAAATTCCCCTTGAAGGACCTGCGAGGGCCTGAACCCCATCCTCCCCCCTAAAGATACCAGCCCTTTCTTCCCCAGAGCCAGACAATTTCTACAGAGCCCCCCCCCACAACCCTAATCCACACAAGAATGCAGAAGAAAACATACAAAGAACTTCCCGGCCACCAAACTTGTTTGGCCCATCCACCCCATCGGAAGTGAGCCAAGAGTTAGGCAACATCCCCAACAACAAAAAGGAACGCAAACCCTACCAGGAGACCCACCCACCCCCCTAAAACAATGAAGCGACTCTGAGGTGCTTGACACCTCTCTGGGGCATTTCCCCAAGCGGCTGGAGCGAGCCCGACCCGCACTCTGGAGGCAGAGCGTGGCATTTGACCAGAGCTGCTCCCAAGCATGCCACCTGGGAGCTAAATGGCCCATTGTGACTGCCTCGTTTGGTCATTGCGAATTGGCCCGGCTTGACTAAGTATGAAACCGGATCAAAAAATATGTTCTGTGTACCCAAGATGTGGGCCAAGTGGAGCGGTATTTTGTAGTGGCCTGATGTGAGCTGGAGGCTTCCTGGGCGGTGTTCAGACCGAGCTCGCGCAGCCGAAATGCGAGGAAGTGGAGCTGTCCGACAGGGAGCTGTCAGGCGTGCTTTGTGATTATCAAAATTACTGTAGGCAATCATGGTTGGTGTCCTTTTGGTTTGCCTTTCAAGCCATCCAACAAAACGTCTTGCAGGTTCGCCAAATATGGCCTGACATATGCCCTTTTTCCAACAATGAACTGAAAAGGGTACTTGCCCACTTCCCTGATTGAACAAGTTTGACTGATTTCGGAGCAGTGGGCGAACGTTTGATTTTGAACGGGCCAACTGTGTCAGCCAAGGAGTTCGCTGGAATTACCAAGTCACTAAGGGAACTCTTGCGACCTTACCCGTGAGGAAGGTTTCTTTCTTGTGGGAAATGTGGCAAAACCTCCTGCGGTCCTAAAGACAACATGTCCACAGGTTTGATCTCCTCACCGGTGCTAATTATAGCGACACCTGTCAGCAAGCCGAGCAAAGAGGTCCTGTATGAGAGGGGCGGGGGTTCCCTTAGTTTCGCTGTTGTTTGCCAAATAGCAAGCATAAGCGTGGAAACCGAACGGGGCCGCGTATGTGGCTGTTTTTTTCCAGCCCCCCCCCCCCCCCCATTTATCACCCAGTTTCCCTGTTGCCTTTCATAGCTATTTCTCCACCTCCAAGCGTGTGCCTGTTGACACGCGGTGCCTGAAGAGGCGACGCTTTCCGTCCTTCGCTGGGCATTTTCCTTTTGGCCATCGCGGCTTGGCCCGGGTTTTGAGGCAATTCTGGGCCTTGCTAAAAATGTCATTTCTCGGGGATTCCTAGGACCCTTCGATTCTTGGGCCGTAATTGTTAAGATGCACGAAATATGAAACAGCGCCAGGAAGTCTTCCTTTCTGTGTAGCCCAGTGGGCCACGCGAGGTCTTACTTTGGGCGCAGTATCCGTTGCTTAGCAACTTCCTCCTTGACCGGTTGCAGTACTTCGTTGTTTTTCCTGTCCGAGCCCGTCTTGCATAATCCACCAGTAATCAGGGACTTTCGCAAATCCCGCCACGCTCTTTCTTTCTCTCTCTCTCTCATGTTCCGCGGAATGCGAGCAACGCACTCGTTCCTTTGGGCCCACCTTCACTTGCCCATGGCATTCTCCAGTCCCGATACATGATATCAGTGCCTCAAAATAGATTCCTTGGAGCAGTTGAAGGGAATCCCATGCACCAGCATCAGGGCAAGGCCATTCTTGAAGGCTGGGCAGCTCTTTGGCTCTTCCCATCGCCTGTCCGACAAGGAATGTAGAATCGAAGCCAGCTGCGGAATTAAGAGCCTGGCTGATTAAATAGGACTGCATACTTGTGGCCAGGGATGAAGCAAGCTCGAATGCAGATGAGTTTGGACGGTCCTTTACTTGAGGGTCCAGAATTTTGGTTTGGACTATCCATTTGTTTAGCGTTTAGATCGGTGGGATGTCCCGGTTTAAACAGAGGATCCTTCACTTTCAGGAAAGCCACTATGCCAGGTTCTGCCAATGGGCCTATATCTTATATATACCACTGAGCTTGAGCTCTGGCAGATGGCACCCCTTTTTCTAGCACAAGAAAGACGGGCAATTACTCGATCCGTGTTTTGCAGGGTTCTGGCCGTAGTTTGAGGGAGCAGGCAGGGTTCCACTTTTTGGCTACCTCAAGATAGGTTTCGGGGTAACCCCAGCCTTGGTTTGAGTCTACCCTGGGGCAGTCAAAAAGTGGAACCCTGTTGCCAGCCCTGTGACCGAACCACCTGAGTCACAATCAAAACCCGGGTAGATGAAGGTTAGTAGGGGGCGATCCCAACCACAAAGAGGTGCGGCCGCCTTCTTAATCCTGTACCTGGTTTTGATTATGACTCACATGGGTTTCCTCATTTTGTTTGGTCTCTTTCCTGTTCAATCAGACGCCCAGGCCTTTGCCATGGCCTGAGTCCAAAAGACGCGGTGCGAGCTGGACAAGGATACGACCATGGGGTATTCATGCTCCGCTTGTTCAGTGTTTGGTTTGTTTGGTTTCCCTGGCTAAACACGGCCAACCCCGAAAAGCGCAGCCGGAATGCGCGAACATGTTGGGTAGCAAGCTGCAGCTATTTAGTAGCAGTATTGAGCAATACATCGCTACTGGGGGGGGGCAGTCGCCATGGTTCACATAGTGTGAGATGGTGCGCGAACCCTCTGGAGTTGCAAGCTAAGGAGGATCCGATGCATGACCTTTTTGGCTCAAGGAACGTGCAGGTTGCAGCCCCCCACAGAACTTTCAGCAAAGGATCACAGAGCTAGAATGAAGCAACGCGCCTTGCCAGCCTACGATGCTGACTCTGGACTGGAGTAATAAACCCGTCCTATGAATAATGAGCTAGTTCACGTCCAAAACTGCCCACTAAAGGAGGACGCCTGTGTTGATCCATCAGGGGGTTGTAACTCCGGATGTTCCCATCAAACAACAGACGACAGCAATCGCATGGTGACAGGCTTGGTGCCCGCAACTGGACGGCCACATGGATCCCAGTTTCACTGTTTCATCGGAAGCCAATGGGAATGCCGAAGTTGTTCGTGTTTTCGGAGCCTCCCTGTTTTGATACATCTTTTTTTGACAAAGCCCAATGCACCCGACCAGAGGGCTTGCCCTTGATACATACCCATATATGCTTGGCGTTTCAGTCATAGACAAACGCAGCTCCACTCACGGCGCCCAAGATGCCGTGCCATGACCCCGCGCAAACGTGCCGCGGCAAAAGGAAGTGCGGCACATTTACAGTTGAGTGAAAGCAGACCGCACAAGCATCTTCAGTTTGGTCATCCCCTTTTTTACTACATACTTAAACGGAATTGTGCCATTTATTTTGACCCAACGGTGCACAACCTGAACCATATTAGTTTGCACTTTTGGCCAGCTCACCGGTCGCGCAAAACAAGCTTGCCATGTTGGTCGGTTGCTTGATCCGATTCTTTTTTCGGACTTGAGACATATTCTATTTGCAGATTGGTTCAGGGTCTAGCCTGAGCATGACCGTGTTGTTCTGAGCATTGCATGAGCAGCGCACAACATCACTGGGGTATCAGGTCTTTTGCGGTCCCCCGGTGGGTTTTGCAGATGGGTATTTGTCCTGGATCTTCCCCTCGGCTTCTGGCGGTATTGGCGGCCATTGGTATGTTTATTGGGCCCACTTGAACATTACCACCCCCAACTGTCTCGGCTCCTTGCATCTGAGGCTCTGAGGTGAAGAAATTGGGCAAGGCGGAGGGGGGCGGGGGGGGACCCTCGAACTACCCTTAGACATCGGATAGTGCCCTGTATGTTTGAGTGCTTTCCCAAGTTTAAGGGTACTTTGAGGGTGCAGGACCCTTTTTTGTGGCAAGTCTGGGGTCCCTCCCAGTCGGTTTGACATGCGAAGCTTAATACTCTTCACCAATCACCACACGGCTGTGTCTCAAAGTACGGGGCCAAGTTCCCTTGCACCTGTTCAACAAGGGGGTGCCTTGAAGACAAGCATACCCCAGAAACGCGCCCCAACCAATTGCGGCCCAGGCTCTTAACCCAGCTCCTGCCACCAGGTACAGTGTTTGGCTAAAAAGGTTTGGCGATGTGTTTGTAACGAACCCTAGGCATTCAAAAGCATCTAGCAATCGTGCTGGGCAGCTTGCTTGGGCCAAGATAGCCACAGAAAAAGGTTTGTGAGTAGCGGTGGAAGTTCTTTGAGACGGCAACCTGCGTCTTCAGCTATGTGGCAATTTCACTGGAGGTTCACACATAGCGTGGAACAGTGGTACCTTCCAAGAATCCTGGATGGTGTCCACTACCCCCAGTCCCCCAAGCAAAGAGAGCTTTACTGGGATATACAGCCATCATTTAGCCACCAAAGAAGGTACATGCCCCGTTGTCGCATGGGGGTAGAGGTTGCCTGGTAGGGAAATTATCGCAGGAAGAAGCAGAACAGCCTGGGACATCATCCTCCGTTTTGCCCAGGGAGGCGTTTTCCTAAAGGAATCAGCTCTAAGGAGACAACAACCTTTTGCTGCTTGACAATTTTTAACTCATGTATGCCAGGAGCACCCCTGCTTCATGACGCGGGGCTTTCAGAACTCTGGCAAACTGGATCCCACAATGCCTCTAAAGGTTCGCTCATAACATGAGGCTAGGTTAGGAGGGACAAGACATGAGTAGCCATTGGAATCATCAGCTAGTTGCGGCTACCCTTATTTGGGTGTTGCCGAAGGAACAACCAAGGGCCCAGATGGAAAATGCCCGACCCGGTTGGCAAGACAGGGATGCGTTTGCACCAAGCCGAGGTCGACCCGTCACTATGGAGTGCGGAGGCGGGTCGCTCGCATGTGAGCAACGGTCAATACTGATAACCATGTAGCGAAGGGAGTGAAGCGGAGAGTATAAGACAGCGGTCTACTCACCATGTGAAGGTCCCAGGACAATTGTAGATGCTTGTTCGGCAACCAGACTTGAACAGCATGCTTTAGCAGTATTTGGCAGTTCCAACTGCCAGTGGGTCAATGAGACAACTGTGCTGCCACCTGCATGCAAGCAAACTTGACCACTTGAGGCTTTACGTAGAGTGGCCAGCAATCTCAGACATGGCGCAGTTTTGGCCATGGACGGAGTTGCTTTTGACGCTTGGTACCACCCAGCAGGTGGTGCGATCCCTGTGCAGACGCTTGCGTGGAACCCTGGATTTGCGACTATGGCCTCTGTCAACGCTGCCCTTTTTGACTTGTTGGTGCCCTCCCTTTACGTTGAATAGCAGAGGCAAACCAATGAGAATGGGGTTGCTTTCAAACCAAATTCAGTTATGAACATAGGATAACTCCTTGTGATATCACCTTGAACCATGGCCTCAAAGGATCGAAATTGCATGATGTCCTTGGCTCATTCGCGAACTACTATCATTGCCAAGGGCTTTGGCCAGGGAGTCAGGAACTACCAAGACAAGGGATGCAACCGCACGCACCCTTTTGGGTCTGGCTTGAATAGGCGTGGATTCCTCAGGTTTCAATGTTTACCAGCAGGAAAAAGGCATCAAGATGTCCAGAGATGCACCTAGGGTGGGGGTGAGGGAAGGCGGTGTTGTCAGCATTCCTCGAAGGCCCGGTGGCAGCGCCAAGACACTGCGATGCGAAGCTTGCCACAGCGCTGGGGCCTCAGTTGAGGCTCACTCGTCCAAAGTGAATTTGACATTGATTTGCGTTTCAGAATATGTGTTATCTGTTATGTTCCCCCCTGTTGGTGTTAAAGCAAATTCATCACTACTGAACATATGCATGAAGATGTTGTTTTTTGCCAAGTAAATGGAAGTTTGGTTCCCTGATTTGGTCCATATGCTGTGAATGTTCCAAAAGGTAGTTACTTTGGTGACTTTTTTGGATGGGACTATTCTGGCCGTAAGCATGAAATCCGACTGATTTGGAGCCCCGCAGATGAAACAGGGTAGACCACATGCACCCAGTTTGCAAAATTTATTTGCCAGATAGTAGTGCTTTCCCGTGTTGTTTCGGTTTCCAACTAATTCGGATCAGGGATTTGCACGTTTTGGACAACGCAGCTTTTATCATTCTAGAATTGGTACTCGGCCATATTCAGCAGAACCCAGGGGAGGGGGGACGTGTAGGGCGAGGCAGGGCTAAAGGGATTCCCATATTTTGGGAATCTATCCAGCCTGGAAGGCATTGTGGATATTTCGCACAAACTGTTTGGTACCCTTTATCCGTTTGGATTGGTGGGGGCTTGAACCCTGTAGTTCCGTTTGAATCAAAAGGGAAGGTACACGCCAAACCAAACCAAGGAGTGAGTTGAAAGTACCGCGTCCGTTGGCCCTTTTTTCGCTGTCAGGACATGTGGCCATGCCTCTGCCACTGCCAGGAGGGGGGCCCTCAGGGAGATTCACAGGCGGCCTTCTGGCCACCAACCCTTACCCAATGGCTGGATTCAAAAACCCCTTCTTGACTAACAGAGGGTTGTCCCCTTTTAGTGGGGATTCGGGGACACCCCCTATGAATAGGACGGGCTTAATCCGGTGTCGACATGTGATTTTCTTTCTGTCTGAGGCTCAGGTGTGCCTTTGTTTCGGGCTCTCATGTTAGAGCCAGCCGCGCCCAACAGAAAGGCAGGCATAACTTCTATCACTGTTTGTCCCATTTAAAATGAGTTTCCTCAAAGAGTGGGGTGATGCTTGAGGGGGAAACAGGGGGAGCCTTGAAAGCGCAGAGTCTTTAGTTTGAGGCGGCAAGCGTAGCAAGCGCAAACTAACAAAAACCTTCTCCAACTATTAGCCTGAAGTGTTTGGAGATCTAAGTGCTTGGGCATGACTGCATTGGGCACCCGCGCGGGGGATTGTTGAGTTCGGGCGAGGGTCGAGCGGCAACTTCGACGCTCGCACTGTGGTTTCAAGCTCTTTGTTGGGCCATCCATTTTCGAGTGTACCCCCATTTTGAGGCAGACCCACCAACCCATCAGAAGTCCGTAGGCTCCTAAAAGCAGCCCGGCAACCAATTCCCCAATCATAGGATCCACGAAATGAAGCCAAGCAACGTGCCTTTGGACCAGAGACATCACATTTGCCTGATTTGGAGGATCCCCTCGTGGAACTGGTGATTTGAGGAATCGGGGAACCACAGTTGTCGCAAATTCTCCATCGATGCATCAAACGGCTGCATAGAGTTCCTTGTGAAGCAGGTGATGTTTGGATGTTTTGCAGCCCGTTTCGTCCTTCCCGGCAGGAGTCAAATGGCGTCGTCCATGGCCATGGCATCCGTCCGCCCTTGGTGCTGGAGGCATGGGTACGGACTGCTTGAGAGCAGTTCGCAAATGAATGGGAACGCCGGATTGATAGACCCCTGGTTGATTTATAGGGGGCTGCCCCAGTTTTTGCATTTTGGATCATTTCACATTTTGGATTATTTCAGTGGGGGTGCGTCACTTTT